TATGTATCAGTAGTTTATTGCTGAGTAGTCTTCTGTGTGAATGTAAATCAGTGTCACTTATACATTGTTTGCACCGTGAGGGCTGTTACGAATAAAGCTACTGTGAGATTGTTATGTAAGTCTTGTGTACACTGTATTTAGACTTGCTGAGTCATAGGATGGGTGTTTAATAAAAATTGCCCGTTTCCCAAAGTGATTGTGTACATTCCCACTAGCTGGTCCACATCCTTGCCAACACTTGATATTGTCAGTCTTCCATTTTAGGTAATCTGGAGTGTTTCTTTGTGTGTATTTCACACTGGCTTTAGTTTGCATTTCTCGGGGCAGTGGGGTGGCACTGTGGCGTAGCAGGTTAGGCCACCGTCTGCAGTGCTGGCATCCCATATGGGTGCTGGTTCAAGTCCTGGCTGCTCCACTTCCAGTCCAGCTCTCTGCTGTGGCCTGGCAAAGCAGTACAAAGTGGCTTTAGTCCTTGGGCCCTTGCACCCATGTGGGAGACTGGAAGAATCTCTAGGTCCTGGCCTCAGGTTGGCCCAGCTCTGGCCTTTGCGGCCATTTGGGGAGTAACTAGTGGATGCAAGACCCTCTCCCCTACCCCCAGCGCTCTCTCTGCCTCTGCCTCTCTCTGACTGCCATTCAAAAAAATAAACAAATTCCTTTTTTTAATTTGTACTTGATGACTAATGAAGATCACTTTTATATGCTTATTGACCATTTAGAGATCTTATTTTGTGAAGTACTTTTCAAATATTGCTGATTTTTTAAATGGAGTGGTTTGTCTTTTACTGTTGAGCTGTAGGAGTTCTTTATTCTGCATCTCAGTTCTTTGTCAGATACATATGTTCCAAATACTTTTAAAATAGTATTTCAATGAGCAACTAAAAAATTTTTTAAACTTTTGAATAATTTCAGTTTTCTATTTATGGTTGATGTCTTCTGTGTTCAACTCTCTGCCACCCTCGTGGTCAGAAGTTCTTTCCTGAAACTGTTAGTTTCTCATTTTGATCTGTGGTCCAGCACCAGTTGGTTTTTGTTAGTGGTGTGAGGTAGGGGGCGTGGTTTTGCTTTTCTTGTGTGGATTTCTGGTTACTTCACTACCATTTTAAAAAACAGATTTTCATTTGTTTGCTGTGTTTGCTAAAAGTCACAGACCTCACATGCTTGGGCCTGTCCCTGTACTTTGTCCTACTGGTCTGTTCATCCTCACGGAGTCCCGTGGTGTCTTAGTTGCTGTAACTTTACAGGAAGCTGGTGGTGTTGAGTCTTCTACCTGTTTTCTTTAGAAGAGTGCCATAGCTAATGTAGGTTAGATTCAGTTTTTATTTTCCTTTCATGTGATTAAGTAATCACTTTAATATTGTTAGGTTTCTGCTCATATTCAGTTTTCGGTTATTTCCTCCTCTTTGTTAACTTAGTTTCAGTTTTTTCATACATAAAGGACTAAGTGGTTGAAAAAAGTTGAAGCCATTCAAAAACTGTATTCCCATCTCCTCCTGTATCTCGTGAGTCTCTCCCACCTGCTCATTTCACTGGTTTCTGCTTTATTCTTCCTGTGTTTCACTGTGCAAAAACATGCTATGAACACATGTGTGTATTGATAGCTGTGTATGCTTCTGTGTGCATGCATAATCAACCTGTTCCTTTTTTTAAAAAAATGGTAGTCTTGCCTATCCATAATCTGGGTAATATTTTCTTTCTCTGAGATTTGATTTCATTTTCTCCAAATGGCTGCAATGGCCAAGGCTGGGCCTGGCCAAAACCTGGATCTTCGTCTGGGTCTCCACATAGGTACAGGGACCCAAGCACTCGGGCCATCCTCCACTGCTTTCCCAGGTGCATTAGCAGGGAGCTGAATCAACATTGGAGCAGCCAAGACTTGAACTGGCACCCATGTGGGATACAGCATTGCAGGCAGTGGCTTAACTGCCATGCCCACAGTGCCGGCCCATAGCCTGTTATTCTTACACTTACATTAAAGTTAGCATATTGTATATACTCTTCAACAGCTTGGTTCTTTTCACTTAATACTCATACATGCTGGAATCCACACTTTATCATTGTCTAGAGATTCCTCTCATTCTTTTTTTTTTTTTTTAATTTATTTATTTGAAAGGCAGAGTTATATATATAGAGAGAGGGGTGTTCCATCCTCTGTTTCATTCCCCAAATGGCCATATTGGCTAAGGCTGGGCCAGTCCTAAACCAAGAACTTCTTCTGGGTCTCTCACTTGGATATAGGGGCCAAGCAGTTGGACCATCTACTGCTTTTCCCATACCAGGGAGCTGGATCAGAAGCGGAGCAGTTGGGACATGAACTGGCATCCACATGGGATGCCAACGTTGTAGGTAGTGGCTTTACCTGCTATACCACTCATTTAGCCCCTTATTCCTTTTTTTTTTTTTTTTTTAAGATTTATTTATTTATTTGAAAATGAGAGTTACACAGAGAGAGGAGAGGCAGAGAGAGAGGTCTTCCATCCACTGGTTTACTTCCCAGTTGGCCGCAATGGCCAGAGCTGTGCCAATCCAAAGCCAGGAGTCAGGAGCTTCTTCCGAGTCTCCCATGCGGGTGCAGGGGCCCAAGGACCTGGGCAATGTTCTGCTGCTTTCCCAGGCCATAGCAGAGAGCTGGATCAGAAGTGGAGCAGCTGGGTCTTGAACCGGCACCCTATGGGATGTCAGTGCTTCAGGCCAGGGCATTAACCGACGGCACCACAGTGCCGGCCCCAACCCTTCATTCTTTTTTTAAAGATTTATTTATTTATTTGAAAGGCAGAGATACAGAGAGAAGGAGAGAGGGAGAGGGAGAGAGAGATCTTCCATGTGCTGGTTAACTCCCCAAATGGCCACAACAGCTGGGGCTGGGCCAGGCCGAAGTCAGGAGCTTTATCCGGGTCTCCCACGTGGGCACGGGGGCCTTGGGCCATCTTCTTCTGCTCTCCCAAATGCGTTAGCAGGGAGCTAGATTGGAAGTGGAGCTCAAACCGACACCTGTATGGAATGCCAGCACTGCAGGTAGAAGGTTAGCCTTCTCTGCCACAGCGCCCCCCCCCCCCGTCATTTCTTTTTGACAGTTGATACCAGCCAATATTTAATTAACTCAGTCTTTTTTTTAAAGTAATTTATTCATTTGAGAGATTTACAGGAAGAGACAGAAAGTGTGATCTTTAATCCACTGGCTCATTCCCCAAATGGCCATAGGAGTCAGGAACTTCATCCAGGTCTCCACAGTGGGTGCAAGGGTCCAAGCACTTGGGCCATCTTCTGCTTTTCCAGGCCATGAACAGTGAGCTGGATTGGAATTGGAGCAGCCAGGATTTGAACCGGTGCCCAAAAGGGATGCCGGTGCTGCAGACGGTGGCTTAACCTGTCGCACCACAGTGTTGACTCTATAAGCTCAGTCTTGCCTGGAGGTATAGAACAAGTAATAAACTTGGACTCTTCATGCTGGGTTCTGCTGGGTCAGGTTCCTTTTCACTAGTCACGGAGGAGCACGCTATACACATGACAGCCTGTGACTTGGGGCTGAGTATATGGGTGTGAGTCATTCTTTTTTTTTTTTTTTTTTTGAGATTTGTTTATCTTACCTTCCTATTTGACAGAGCTACAAAGAGAGGGAGGGACAAAGATCTTCCATCTGCTGGTTCACTTCCCCAAACAGGACAGTCAGGTCTGGGCCAGACCAAAGCCAGCAGTCAGGAACTGTCTCCATCTCCCACATGAATGGCAGGGGCCCTAGCACTTGAGTCATCATCCACATTAGCAGAAAGATGAATGGGAAGTGGAGTTGGCAGAACTTGACCCGGCACTCCCATATAGGATGCCGGTAGCTTAACCAGTCATGCCACGACTACCATGTTGTTAAAGATGTATAGTTCATACAGATTTCCTAAAACAGGTTCCCAGTTTGGTCATTTAGTCTAATTTGGTGAGTTATTTGGCTTGATCCTGACGTTTGAGCACTTGACACACACCAGAACACACAGCTCGATGTATGAACCACGACTGAACCGCCACGTACAGAATGCCGGGCACTTACAAGTGTCTGCTCAAAGCAGGAATGCCACACACACAGCTTAACAAGGGAGATTAAGAACTGGCCTTATTTCTCCAATGATTGGATAGACCCCAGGCCGTGCCTGATTATGACTATCAGAAGTCTGATTGTAAATAAACCTTTGGAAGTCCCACCTGCGGGGTAGAAGTCCACCCCTGCCTGCTCAGACTCTGGTGGGAAATGAGGGATCAGAACCACCCAGAGTTACTTGAGTGACTGCATCCCTGGTCACAGCACGGAATGAGAAGCCTTGAGAAACTCAGAGTAAACCCGCTGCAGGAGAAGTGTGTCAGCTCAGCATTTAAAAATCCAGCAGCAAAAAAGAGTAATTGCTTGTGAGGCTCAATTAGTTATTAATCATTAATTCTGATGGGAGTTGGTAGAAATGTCTCTATATCTGCCTATCCTGGTCACATCAGATTCAGGACAGAAGCTAGTTTGAAAAGTAAAAAGAGGCTGGGGTTATGGCGCAGCAGGGTAAGCAGCCACTCCTGCAGTGCCAGCCTCCCATGTGGGCACCGGTTTGAGTCCCAGCTGCTCCACTTACGATCCAGTTCTCTGCTGATGTGCCTGGGAAAGCAGTGGAAAATGGCCCAAGTACTTAGGCCCCTGCACCCACATGGGAGACCCAGATGAAGCTCCTGGCTCCAGCCTGGCCTAGTCCCTGCCGTTGCGGCCATTTGGGGAGTGAGCCCGCACATGGAAGATATCTCTGTGTGTGTGTGTTTGTGTGTGTGCCTTTCAAACAAATAAAATAAATCTGAAAATAGTAAGAAAGGGATGTAAAAGCATTCGACATCATCCCTGCCATTTTTCGTCAGTGTTCGTCTTCCTTTCGTTGGAGGGTTCTGTGCTGGATGCTGCCCCGTGTGTGCTGGGAAGTGGGTGTGCCAGGCAGTGTGCCCAGAGGCTGTGAGCAGGTGTCTGTAGCGCTTTCACTCAGTCTTTCCCTCTGGCACAGGTGGCTCGGGAGAGTGGCCCGCCGCACATGAGGAACTTTGTGACCAAGGTCTCAGTTGGGGAGTTCGTGGGGGAAGGTGAAGGGAAGAGCAAGAAGATCTCCAAGAAGAATGCTGCCATAGCTGTTCTCGAGGAGCTGAAGAAGTTACCACCCCTGCCTGCAGCTGAGCGCACGAGGCCCAGGCTCAAAAAGAAAACAAAGCCCCCCGGCCGGGTAGGAACCTTTCCAAACAGAGAGGGTGTTTTCTTTGCTTACAGGAGGTAGGCGGGCTTAGAAGGCTGAGTGCTGTCGCCAGGGTGAAAGGGGACAGATGGAAGACGCCACAAGCAAGGCCCGGTGCATCCTCTCCAGCCGTGGCACTTGAGCCACGGAGTAGGTGGAGCGGAGGCCGCTGAGGCCGTGCTTAGAAGCAGCATGTGTGTGTGCATGTCTGCCGAAGGCGCTCTGCAGCCCTCATGGTCACAGGGAGGTTCTGGGCGAGGCTGCGTGTGGGGCCTGGGAGGGCTCCATGCCTATGACCACTGCCCTGGAGGTTCTGAAGGTAGAGGGGAGGCTGGCAGGGTGTGGGAGGCTCAGGGTGGAGAGGGACATTTGTGCACTTTGGCTTTTGGGTTTTTGGACCACGCTAACAGATTTATCAGAGGCTACTGACCCCTTCCTCACCCCAGGAAAGGAGTCAAGATTCCCTTGGCGGCCTTGCAGAATGTTAGGGTTATTCTGTGGTGGTTTGCAGAGTTAGATCCATATTCTTCCCCATATATTCCTTTGGTGGTTATTTTTTTTTCCTTCCTGTCTTATTGTGTCCTGCAAACCACTGCTGTTCAGTGGAGTGGGTGAGGCCGTTCCTGGCCTGGGAGGGAGAGTGGGAGTCTTCGGTTCTTCTTTCAGGGGATGTCAGCTTGGGGATCCTCTTGATTGGCTTCTGGACCTTGAGTTTTGTTAAGAAAGTGAGAAGCCCAACGTACAGACCTTTGAGGAGTTTTCAAAGCTGGGTTGTGTTTTTTTGTTATTTTTTTTTTTTAATTTTTCCTGCCTCTTTCTTGCTGTGTGTTAATTTGTTAAAGAAGCAAGCATTGCAGCAATGCTTGCCTCTTCACAGGGAAATGTTGGTTACTAAGGCCTTAAAGTCACCTTAGAATAATCATGGACAATGTGAAGCATCTTTTAGTGTTGAAGAAACTCGGAGATCTGAGCCATTGGCAGATATGTGCCCAGTGTCTACTCCGCTCTGTCCTGCTCTTGGAGTTGGCCCTCTCTGACCCAGGCTTTCCCGTGATTAACAAGCACATCGTTCTGCCTTCCTTGTTTCTCAGCTGCAGACGAGCCCGGAGTATGGGCAGGGCATGAATCCCATCAGCAGACTGGCCCAGATCCAGCAGGCGAAGAAGGAGCGGGAGCCCGAGTACCTGCTGCTCACAGAGCGCGGCCTCCCACGCCGCAGGGAGTTCGTGATGCAGGTGGGTCTGCTGGGCTGGGCACTGCCCTGCTGCCTCTGACCGCGTCCAGTCCTGAAGTCTCTCGAGGTCCAGGGGCTGAGCTGCCTCCCTAAGGAGACCGGGTCTGGTGGCCTGCTCTCTGGCCCATGGTAGTTGCTTCGTGCTTATCACAGGCCCTGCTGTGGCGGCAGGTGGGGGTGGGTTTCGCCCCACCGAATGCCTTTCTTCATTACTTCTCCTGGGAGTTTAGGACGTCTTCAAAGTTAAGTCCTGCAGGTGATAGCCAGAGTTCTGTTCCTGTTCCTCCTCCTCGCTCGGAGTTTGGAATCCAGGTCGGCTCTTCCTGAGAATGGGTGGGAGGATGCTCCAGCTCGGCACGGGGTGTTTCTCCTTGTGCTTAACTTACTTAGCCGGTGCTTCACCAGGCCGCGGGCTGTAATTGTGATTTGAATGTATGTTTTCTGATGGGAATCAGGGTCTAGTAGTCCCACCTTAGTGGTTTTACTTACCCAGTCATTCGCGGTCCAAAAGTACTACATGAAAAATTCCAGAAATCAGCAACTCAGCCCTTAACTTGCCGGTCTCGTGAGTGTGGTGATGAAGGCTTGTGCCGTCCCCATCGGGATGTGATTTGTCCTTCACCAGGGGACCCATGCTGTGGACGCCCCTGTTACTCGGCAGCCGTGTCGGTCACCAGATGGATTGCGACGGTCTCTCAGTGCTTGCGTTCAGTAATCTCCAGAGCTGGGTAGCGTCCATGCCTTCAAGCATCCAACAGGAATCTTAGAAACGACTCCTGAGTCAGGACAAGGGGGAATGCGTACTTCTTCCTGGGTGGTCATGTACAGCTTATAAAGAGCCATCCCCAATCCTGGGTGTCACACCCCCAGTCGGAAGTGAGGGAGACAGTGAGGTGTGCTCTCTGCAAGAGGGAGCGGTAGTTCGCCAAGGGGCAGTGGCTGCCAGGTGGCCAGGTTGGGATTTGGTACCAGGATGCTCTGCGCAGGCCGGGTAAGGGTTTCCTGAACTTTGTCCTGTGAGGTCTGGGGCTGCCTGTGGCAGGGCCATAGGGGAGGGGGTCAGGCGGGAGTGTGCGGGGGACGTTTAAAGGGCGGCCCTTGGGGACGGGGTTCGGCAGGGAAGGTGTGCGTGTGTGTAGATGTGGACGCAGGCACGTCTGTGTGTGCTGCAGTTCTAGTGATGGGAGCGATGTGCAGTGTACAGTTGACAAGGAACTCATCTGCTCGGTATTAAAATGTCACACACCTGTGGCTTAGTGTGATCCCCACCCCAGGGTGACAGTTGGACAACACGTGTCGTTTTATCACTGTCTGCTCACCGAAGGGATTACTCACGTCATTGACAAGTCCATCATTCAGATTGGAGACTTCCAGTTCTAGCACGAATACCAGCTAATACACACACACGCGCGTGCGCGTGTGTGTACCATAGTTTGTTTCTTTGTTTTCTTTTAAAAGATGTTTCTCTTCATCTTGAAAGGCTGCTGGTTCACTCCCCAGATTCCCACAACACATAGGGCTGGGCCAGGCCAAAGTCAGGGGCCCAGAACGTCATCTGATTTCCCATGTGTGGCAGGCGCCCAGGCACTTGAGCCTTCATCTGCTGTCCCCAGGAAGCATTAGGAAGCTGGAGTGGAAGTGGAGAAGCTGAGACCTGGCGTGGCACTCTGCTGGGGGATGCCAGTGTCCTGGGGAGCGGCTGACCCCACTCTGCCGCACACCTGCCTCGATAATTTTGTTGACAGTAACAAGACAGTGAAGACACAGGTAGCTCATATCTTTTGTAAATGATACAATTGGCATCTCTGCTGAATTGGGTAATAATTTTCGAAGGCCAGAAGAATGTTTCCATTTGTTGTGCTGGCTATAGTTAGTGGCTGCAGACCTCAGGTACCTGTAAGATTTATCTGCATTAATAACCTTTGCTTCATCACTTTTAAGTTTCAAGGTTGTCAGTAACCTCGTCCTTGATAGGTTGCATTTGCAGATTTCTGTGGTATTTATATTCACCACCACCAGTTGGGGGCTTTTGGAAGTGACACCTGTAATGGTGGAGTTGAGAGGAGATATGCAGTAGCTAACCTCATGGAATATTCCCATGCAGACATGGACAGAACATGAGAGCACAAATAATTCTATGAGAAATTATGGAAGATGTTCAGTGGTGCCTTTGAGTATTTCTTGCCTCTGTTAAAATCATTTCATTTGGGGGCCAGCGCTATGGCACAGTAGGTTAATCCTCTGCCTGCGGCACCACCATCCCATATGGGCGCTGGTTCTAGTCCCTGCTGCTCCTCTTCCAATCTAGCTCTCAGCTATGGTCTGGGAAAGCAGTAGAAGATGGCCAAGTGCTTGGGCCCCTGCACCCATGTGGGAGACCAGGAAGAAGCACCTGGCTCCTGGCTTCGGATCGGCGCAGCTCTGGCTGTTGTGGCCATTTGTGGAGTGAACCAATGGACAGGAGACCTTTCTCTCTGTCTCTTCCTCTCACTGTCTGTAACTCTACCTCTCAGATAAATAAATAAAATCTTTTAAAAAATAACTTAATTTGTAAGTTTATGTAAATTTATGTTTAATAATGGCTGTATTTAACAGCCAGCTTTACAAATTCCTGAATATTTAAAAATCAACTGTGGTAGGGGCCAGCGTTGTGGCTTAGTGGGTAAAGCTACCACCTGCAACACCAGCACCCCATGCTGTTCCATGGGGACCAGTGTGAGTCTCAGCTGCTCCTCTTAGGATCCAGCTCTCTGTTAATGGCCTGAGAGAAGCAACAGGAGATGCACCAAGTGTTTGGGTCCCTGCCACCTGCATGGGAGATCTCAATGAAGCGTCTGGTTTCAGCTTGGCTCAGCGCTTGCTGTCACAGCCATCTGGAAAGTGAATCAGCGGATGGAAGATCTCGCTCTGTCTCTCCCTTTCTCTCTATAACTCTGTCTTTCAAATAAATCTTTAAAACATGAAATTAAAATGAGCTCTGTCAGACCACTGAGGCACTCGTGTTAAAGCCACTGAGCTGGTTTCCTGCGTGTTTAAGCGCCTGTGTGTGTGTTGACTGTTTGTGCAGGTGAAGGTTGGAAACCACACTGCAGAGGGAACAGGCACCAATAAGAAAGTGGCCAAACGCAACGCTGCGGAGAACATGTTGGAGATCCTGGGGTTCAAAGTTCCACAGGCACAGCCCACGAAGCCGGCGCTCAAGTCAGAGGAAAAGGTGAGTGCTCAGGGCCTTCCTGTCCCAAGGTGGCCTCCCCGCTGCACCCGCGGCACTTGAGGCACATGCTTCAGGGCGAGACTTGCTCTTCCAGCCAGCGACGCAGCTCTGCCCGGCAGTCTGGCGTGTGGGTCACTGTGGCGTGCTCAGAGAGGACCTCATGTCCAGTGGCTCCAGGCGCCGCTGTGGGTTAGCTCATGCTTGCTCTCGTGTCTCTGTGACCTGGGGGTGCTTTGCTCCTCCATCTGAAGTTAACAGTGCGATTCTGTGACTTGTGCTCTCAAAGCGAAGCATGCATGGGAAATTCACGCGTGCGAGTCTGGGTAGCTGTCGAGCAGGCTGTGCTTTTCCCGGAGGTTAGGTGGTAGACATTAGGGTCTGTCCAGATCTGGCGCAAAGTGATCTGGGATTTTGCTTTTCTCCACTGGATCTGCCGAGAATGCTCCATGGGAACTTAATGAAGCCCCTGGGGACCTCGTTTCCACTCCCTGAGTTACGCTGTCGGGATAAGCTTGAGAACAGGACTGATTGGTTCACATCTGCTGGTCCTAATGCAGTGATGCAGGGCGTCAGGCTAATAACTGGGACTCCAGACACTTGGGGAGCCTGCATCAACCCTGGGCCTGGCTCTCGGTTCTCATCCCACAGTTTTAGATTTGGGCACTTGTGGGCTTCCTTTCCTTCCCGGAAGGGAGACTCACGTTGGATGCAGTTCTTATGCCACCCTGTTGAATTGGATATTAGGCCCAGGAAATAGTCTTGATTTGTTTAGCTCCCACCTAAAAGCCTCTTCCCTGCCTTGGTGTGCTCCACCCGGCTGCATCCCTGCTCCCGCTGGCCACATGTCACTCTGTCTTGCCCCAACACACACGCACATACTTGCTGTGCGTGCCTTCACAAGTGAAGTGGACACACTGGTGGCCAGGAGGGACAGGAAGTGCACACTAGTGGGCAACTTTGGGTAGGGGAGGGTTTTTTCTGTTGATTGCTGGTTGAAGTTTATGTTACTTGGCAGGAGCTAATTTTTCAACGATTTGACTTATGTTCATGCCCCCTCCCTTTCTTTTTTTTTGCTTCTCTTAAGACACCAGTGAAGAAACCAGGGGATGGAAGAAAAGTAACCTTTTTTGAACCAGGCTCTGGGGATGAAAATGGGACTAGTAAGTGTGATCCTCACGTTGTCTCCCTCTGGATGGGGTTCCTGGGTTTGCATGGTTCCGGCAGCAGGTGCCTGGCAATGGAGCGCACAGTGTGTGTGTCTGGGTGAGGGAAGGAAGGGTCGTGCGGCTCGGGTGCCCTTGGGCCTGCCGACAGTGGAGGTGACCCTGTCTGTCCTCCCAGGTAGTAAAGAGGAGGAGTTCAGGATGCCTTATCTTAGTCATCAGCAACTGCCTGCTGGGATTCTTCCCATGGTGCCCGAGGTCGCCCAGGCTGTAGGAGTCAGCCAAGGACATCACACCAGAGATTTCTCCAGGGCAGCTCCAAACCCTGCCAAGGCCACGGTAACTGCCATGATAGCCCGAGAGTTGTTGTATGGGGGCAGCTCGCCCACAGCCGAGACCGTTTTAAAGAATAACATCTCTTCAGGCCACGTACCCCATGGACCTCTCACGAGACCCTCTGAGCAACTGGACTATCTTTCCAGAGTCCAGGGATTCCAGGTAACTGTTGGGCCTGAGCTAAGAGGGACGTGCCTCTGTCACCTCTGGGCTCCTCTCTCAGAATGAGCTTTGAACCTTGTTTTTGAAATCAAATTCTTGGGGCAGGCGTTGTGACGCAGCATATAAATCACTGCATGTCAGTGCCTGGTTCAAATCCTGGCTGTTCCGCTTCGGCTCCAGCTTCCTGCTAGTGCATCATCTGGAAGGCAGCAGAGGATGGCCTGAGCACTTGAGTCTGTGTCACCCACGTGGGTGACCCAGATGAAGTTCCAAACTCTGGCTTTGGCCTGGCCCGGCCATGGCCTTCATGGGCATTTGGGGAGTGAGCCAGCAGAGGGATGACCCCCCTCTCTGTCTCTGTGTCTCTCTCTCGCTTTGCCTTTCAAATAAGTCAAGTTCTTGGGGTAGGCATCTGATTAGCAGTGGAGATGCTGTGTGGGGCCTCTGTGTTGTGGCACCAGTGGGTTAGGCCAGTGCCTGCGATGCTGGCATCCCATATGAGCGCCGGTTCAATTCCCAGCTGCTTGACTTCTGATCTAGCTGCCTGCTGATGTGCCTGGGAAAGCAGTGGAGGATGGCTCAAGTAGTTGGGCCCCTGCCACTCACGTGGGAGACCCAGTTGGAGTTCTGGCTCCTGGCTTTGACCTGGCCATCTGGGGAATGAACCAGTAGATGGAAAGTCAGTATGTCTCTGTCTCTCCCTCTCCCTCTGTCCTCCCTTTATCCCCTCCCCTCCCTTCTCTCTGTGTGTGTATTTGTGCATCCCACGTTAACGTGCCCTGGGTTCAAGGCCCAGCTCCTCTCCTGATTCCATCTTGTCGCTAATGTGTACCCTAGGGGCAGGGTTGAGTCCCTGCCGCTCGTGTGGGAGGTCTGAACTGAGTTTACCCCCTCTCAGCTTCAACCTGACCCAGCCATTGCAGGCATTGGAACTAGTGGAGGGATGATAGTTTTTTGTTTTTTGTTTTTTTTTTAAGACTTAATTTATTTATTTGAAAGAGTTACAGAGAGAGAGAGGTCTTCCATCCAATGGTTCACTCCCAAAATGGTCGCAACGGCTGGAGCTGCACCAATCTGAAGCCAGGAACCAGGAGCTTCTTCCAGGTCTCCCACATGGGTACAGGGGCCCAAGGACTTGGGCCATCTTCCACTGCTTTCGCAGGCCACAGCAGAGAGCTGGATAGGAAGTGGAGCAGCCGGGTCTTGAACTGGCGCCCACATGGGATGCCGGTGCTTCAGGCCAGAGCATTAACCTGCTGTGTCATAGCGCCGGGCCCAGTTTCCTATCTTTCTGTCAAATAAATATGTAAAATTTTAAAAGATGAAACCTTGTTCTTGGGGGTGGTAGAAGTGGCTGTGAGTAGCGGTTCTGAGGAAGAGAGGTCTAGAAGGTGTCCCCAGCATGTGTTGTATGAGAAGAGACTTGTCCTTCCGTAATCATTTTGCTACATCCAAGCTGACCCCTAGGTGCTTGTAAACATAGGCTTTGGCAAATTCTGCCTTGCTGCAGAGCGCCTGGCGGGAAGGGACCCAGGGGCCGAAGGCAGGCGGACGCCTGCACCCTGGAAGGTCCCAGGCGGGCACAGGCTGCCGTGTGGCTGCCCACAGGCTGGGCTCTCCCTCCTGCCGGCCCTGGGCCCGCTCAGGCTCCTTGCTTCACTGCCCTGGCCTCAGTTCTCTCTTCCCCTATAGGTTGAATACAAAGACTTCCCCAAAAACAACAAGAACGAATTTGTATCTCTTATCAATTGCTCCTCTCAGCCGCCTCTGATCAGCCACGGCATCGGCAAGGATGTGGAGTCCTGCCACGACATGGTACGTCCCTCTGGGGTGAGGCTCAGGGAGTGAGCAGGCCTGGTCAGCTGTTACGGCCACAGGGAGACAGGAAACGGGTTTTCCGTAGACTTGAGAGAGTTGGGTTTTTGATAGGTGTCATGTGTCTGAAGACTCTCTCTCTCCTGGTTGGCTGGATGCAGTTCTCTCACTGCTCAGACTGTGCTGGCGAGGCCTGGCCTCTGCCACCCCCCCCACCCCACCCCACCCCACCCCGCTTCCTGGGGATCGACGGACCCAGGGCCGCATCTGGGGTTGTCCATCTCTACAGAACAAGGGACTGCGGGTCTCCCTTCTCGTGTCTCTGGGAAGCCCTTGTGCTGGTTTTCCGCGGACACGAAGTTTCTGTAAGAACTGCTGTCTCTGGAGAGGAGAGGAGATGGGGTAGATAAAGCCACTTCATGGGCTGTAGCGCAGTGTCTTGAAGACAATGGCAAGGACAGTTTGTGCAGTCTGATTAGCAGTGTTCAAGATCCTGGCAGTAACCAAAGTTAACAGGTGGGGATTCAGTGAAGTAAATGGATAACTGTCTTCATTTTAAAAATTCAAGTGTAAGGAATTGCTGCCTGTCTGCCAGTAACCACACGTGCCCCGCCCCAAGTGCAGGGTGTGGGGCTGGAGTCCCAGACAGGAGTGTGGCTTCATTTTTCTTTCTGTCCCTCACAGGCTGCCCTGAACATTTTAAAGTTGCTGTCTGAATTGGACCAACAGAGTACAGAAACGCCGAGAACAGGAAACGGACCAGTGTCTGTGTGAGTGCTCGGGGGCCTGGGAGGCACCACCGTACCCTGAGGCTGAGAGCTGCTCTGCTGACGCACTGAGACGCGTCCCGAGTGGCCTTCTGCCCTCGCCCCTGGAAGGTTTCTGTCCTCTGGGCAGAGAGCTCTGTTTTTATTAAATACCTTGACTCTGAATACGCGCGTCCCTGTGGTTCAGAACCAAGTTGTCAGGAGGGGTCACAGGACGGCTCCGCCCTCGCGCAGTGCCGGTTCTTGCCTCCAGGGGATCGGCGCTTGGCTCTCCTGTGTGTGCTGTAGTCCGTCCACCCCTTCGCACACCGTGTCCTGGGGGAGTTTGCCCTGGTGCCGCTGTTGTGAGCGAGCCTGGGCCTGTCTGTTGGGCTCCCAATGTTTGCTGATTTCTTCTGTAGCTTAAAACGGCCTTCCATCTCAAAACTGGTATCATTTTTATTTTTTCTTCCTTAAAGGTGTGGGAGGTGCTGAACCTTTTCTGCCTATGAACCATTATAAAATCCCAACATATATACTGAAAATACTGAAACTGCTTTGAAAATTTGGAATTTCTGATACCTCCAGTGGGCCGAGAGACACGCTGGGTAAGAACGTGGGCGGAGCGAAGACGGCAGCGTGAGGAGGTGGCCGTGGCTGATTGGCTCTGACGGCCGCGCAGCGACTGCGGCCTGCACCGCTGGGAGGAAGGGCCCGCCGCGGCTCTGCGCTCCAGCACGGCGGTGCTGTTTTGGGTTTGGTTTTTTTTTTTTCCTTTTTCCTTTTTTTGCTGTGTGGAAGAAGAAACAGAAAACAGAAGGGAGGACGCCTTCTCAGACTGGCTCACTCAAACACTTTGGGACAAACCCTGGACAGCCACGCTGGACAGAGGCCTTCCGCCGGCCCCAGAGCAGAAGCGCCAGAGAAAATCCAATGCTTCCTTCAGCGTCACCGAGCTTTCTAGCGTGCGCCCCCACCGTAACCACTGCTCTCTTCCTCCAGTGACGCGTGTTCTCAGTTCTTTATCTTCTTCTCATTGATATGACACTATATGTGAGAGTTTCTCAGTTGTATCTAGTTACATAGCACAGTTTAGAAACAATAATCTAGCCGGAAAGATCATACCGTGTGTATGTGGTTATATATTTTTCTTTCATTGTCCTAACCCAGGACCATTTCATTGAACACAAATGGTGTGCCCTCTGCTCTAGCTGAGACAGTCCCGATGCCTCAGACCCTGATGAAGTCTCCCACAGTTGTATAAATTGGACACTGTAGGAATTTTAAACTTTAGATGATCATTTCGTTCCTTTTCTATTTTATTTTTGTTAATGCAACAGGACTTAAACAAATGAACTTTGATCTTTGTTTTAAAGATTATTAAAAACAATTGTGTCTACACGTGGCTCTTGAGGGCGTAGCTTCACTACACTACAGGGTGTGGTCGCCGTGTGGTACTCACACACCTGCAGGTTGATTTCCGTGAGTGCTTGATACTGTCATTACATCTCCATGTAGGGCTGAATAGGATGACCCGTGTTGATGTATGCAGCTGTGTCGCTTTAGGTGTTGTTGCTGTACACAGAGTGTGTACTGAAGGTTCTGCGTGTGGTCCAGACGAAAGCTCAGTAGGCCCGCCAGGCCAGTACTGCTTCCGTCCGTGTTTGCGCTGGAATGTTCTCTCCCCATGGAATGTAAGTAAGACTTAGTGTTGTCACCAATAAATGGTCATACTAAATTTCTTTTGTTAATTTATTCTCAGATGCCACTACTGCTAGGTGGACACCTCCCAACTCAACCCCTACCCTTTTTTATTTTTAAGAAAGAAAAATTTATAATGCTTGTGATTCCATCTTGACAAAAATATGAAGAACTGAAATAACTTTATATCAAACTGTTGATCAATAAACAGCTACTAATGAAGCTCTGGGCCTGTTGAGCGGTGATAAGGGACGATGCACGTGCAGGACCGGGGCAGTGGCGTGGCGGGCACAGGGCGGCTGTGGGCCCGGGGAACGGCCCCAGTGCTGCCCCCAGAGCCACGGCCCGGCAGTTAGGAGACCCCTGGCAGGACGCGGGCCTCGCTTCCTGCGTGCGCTCGGGCTGCGCGGGCCGTGGGGACAGCTGGCTGGCCGTGTTAGCACTGGGGGGTGTGACGATTGTTTCACTGTGCAGCGGCGGCTCTCCAGTGTGTGATCAGAAAGTGTAGTGGGAGGGGATTCACCTGGAGAGTGAAAGCAGCGGAAGGAAATAAGTCGGGTCTTAAAGACCTGTGAGCTTGCGAGTCGGCGTCGACAACCTGCTGCGGCCCAGGTGCTCGGCGGAGGAACCGAGCGCACGGGCAGCACTTGGTGGGCGGCGGCTCTAAGCTGTCCTGCACTCTGCTGGGCTCTTGGCTCTGGAGTCGCGCTCGGGGTCCTCTGAAGGAGCACGTGGCCCAAGCCGACTACAGCAGTTGACTCGAGTGTGCAAAGCACAGTGGAAGCTTGGAGTCCCGGGGCAGGGCTTTGCTGGGCCGTCCAGGTCCAGTGCAAACCTGGCGGGCAGCAGGGCTGGCTCTAGTAGCTGGTGTCTGCTGCCCACAGGGAGGCCAGGACGCAGTTCCCAGCTCGCGGCTCGGCCTTGGCCATGGGCATCCGGAGAGGAAACCAGCAGACGGGAGCGCTTGCTCTTTGTTCTCCGTCTCAGATTGTTAAACATCACTACTAAAAATTAAAGTGTAATAAGTTTTTCATTAATACTTTGTTTTGTACTAAAACGTTACAATATAATCTGCCTCTACCTTTTATTTATGATTTTATTTGAAAGGTGGAGTTAGAGAAAGGGAGGGATGGATCTTGCATCCTTTGGTTTATTCCCTAAATGGCTGCAGCAGCTGGGGTGGGCCAGGCTGACCTCTGTCCCCGTCTCACATGGGTGCAGGGGCCCAAGGGCTTGGGCCATCTTCAACTGCTTTTCCCCAGGTCATTAGTGGGGAGGTAGATGGGAAAAGGAGCAGCTGGGGCTAGAACAGCTGCCCACGTGGGATGCCAGCGTCAGAGGCAGCAGCTGAACCCACCGCACCAGCATGCCAGCCCCTTCTCTACCTTTAAAAAGTTGTTTTGAAATAATGTTTAAAAATTTTTTTGACAGGAAGAGTGGACAGTGAGAGAGGCCGCCGTGGCCAGTGCACCGCGCTGATCCGATGGCAGCAGCCAGGTGCTTCTCCTGGTCTCCCATGGGGTGCAGGGCCCAAGCACCTGGGCCACCTCCACTGCACTCCCTGGCCACAGCAGAGGGCTGGCCTGGAAGAGGGGCAACCGGGACAGAATCCGGCGCCCCAACCGGGACTAGAACCCGGTGTGCCGGCGCCGCAGGCGGAGGATTAGCCTAGTGAGCCGCGGCACCGGCCTTGAAATAATTTCAAACAGAAAAGCCCCAGTTAGAATCGCGTGTACATTCCCTGTCCCCCTCCCTCCCCGCCACGCACTGTACCCTCTAGGGTGGACGCTCCGCCGGCTGGAGTGGACACGCTGCTGCCGTCTAGTCCTGGCCCAGCATCGCCACATCGCGCCGCGGCGTCCCCGGGAGGAGCCCTGCTGCCTCGCCGTCTCCTGCCCTTGACTTCCTGGCGAGGTGGGAGAGCGCACGCCTCCCAGAGACCCCCAGCCCGGCTCTACGCCAGGCACCCGCTCCGCAGGCAGCGTGCTCCGCCGCGGGCTCGGGCGACTGCGAGTCCCCAGAGGTCCCTGGCCGCGGTCGCTGGTGCTGCCGCCGTGCGTCCACAGCCTCCGTTGATGGCGGAACGGCACCCGTGTGTCCCCTTCTTCCCTGCGGCCCTGGCGTTGCCTGTTGCTGCCGCGGTCGGGGTCACCTGTGTGTGCAGGTCACAGTGCCCCCCCCTTTTGTTTCTGTGTTTAATTATTTGAGTGACGGAGCTCCCGCCCACTGTTTGAGCCCCACGGGTGCAGCGGTACCCCTGCTGCGGCGCAGCGCCAGGCCGCTGCTCCAGCACTGGGGGTGTCGCCGTCGGCCAGCTCGCCACCTGCCGGTTTCCTGGGTGTCTTTGGGGGTGTACCGGCGCTGCTCACAGAGGCCTCCGTCCCCCCGCCTCGTGGTAGGCCCACCAAGGTCAGGGGAAGATGGGAAACAGGCCAGGAGCCCGAGGGCGAGCCCCAGCTTCCGGTCGGCTCTCTGCCCGCTCGACAGCGCTCCAGGTAGAACTTCTGCAGCGTCAGGGCTCTGGGTCGGGATCCCCGGCGTTACAGTGGGTTTTCTCTGGCTGCTCTGGGACGCGGGCCCGTGCGATGTCTTGGGATGTCCTCTGATGTGAAGTTCGCGCCCAGCCCTGCCCCTGGGAAGGCCTGCTGGCCGGCACTGCCGGTCGCGGGGGACCTGCTCGCAGCAGCCGCGAGCACAGCAGGGCCCGAGGTGGGCGCCGTCTGCCTGGTCAGGACAGGAGCTGCAGCCCCGGCCCCGCCTCCCAGGCCATGCAGCGGGCGTGGGTGTGACACTGGGGCGGGACTGGGCCTGGGGACTGGCAGGCGTGGCACGCGGTCACCTCACAGTGGTGCGTGGCGTTGGCACGGGTTGGCCTCACAGTGTCACAGGCAGACCTCAGGCTGGGGAGGTCTCCGCACAGCTCCCGGCGTCTCGGTGTTGCTGTCACGTGTGTTCACGCGAGCTCCAGACGTGTTCTGCGGGGAGACGGGCGTGGCCGAGCAGGGAGCGGGCTCCAGTCGCTTAGAAGCCGGTGACACTGGAGGCCGCGCAAGCTCGGTGGCAGCCGCCGGGTCTGGACCCGCCGGGAGGGGCTCTGGGCTGGGGTCGCCGGTGCTGACCGCCGGGGTGGCCGGGTGTGCAGCTCGTGGCTGGAAACTGCTCGCAGCCTCTGAGAGGCTTGAGTGAGGCCAGAAACACTTGGTTTCCAAACTCCTGGCGATGGTTCTGTCAAACACGGCGTGGCCTGCGGCAGGCGTGTGCGGGGCAGGGTGTGTGTGCTGGAACGAGGAAGCTACCACGTGCAATGGCGACCGTGGGAACGCCCGACTCCACGTGTGCCGTTCCCGAGGCGGCGCGCCGACAGCTTGGGCGTGGAGTGGAGACAGCATCTCCTCCCTGCACCCATCGCAGTCCTCGCCGGAGCCCTGCAGGTCTGTGTGGCGGCAGCTGTAAGAATTCCTAATTCCACCGTCAGCGTGGACGTCAGCAGAAACCCTGCATCCAGACGGCAGCCGGCAGCCCGTGAGACGGTTCCTTGGGCGTCTGCCTTCGGATTGCCGAGCGCCGTGGCTCCCAGAGGACCTCCCACTGTTAGCGGCCGGCCGCGGTTTGCAGGTTCCTTGGGACTCTTCCCAGCATGCACCCGGTGTGTCTTGAGCGCCTGCCCCTCAGGCCCGGGACCGCACGTGGACGTGTGCGGCTGATCTGAAGACTCCGGGACAGAACAGCATGAAGGCTGTTGGAGGTGGACTGCACCTGAGCCGAGGAACCGTGCCCAGCTCAGGGCCGATTCGGCCGCTGCAGCCCCGGTCTGTCCCCGCTCCCTGGGTGCAGGTGCTACTGCCCGGACGTCCTTCCGGATGACCCCTCCTTAGAGCGGCCGTGGCCTCCGACCCCACCCTCACAGCTCTCCACGACGTTGCCCTTGTCTAAAATTGATTCAGTCACTGCTCACCGGCTCGCACCTGCACTCCAGGGTCCCGCCGCGGGCCCGGCTCCCCAGTCCTGGGTGATGGGGCTGGGGCCAAGGACCAGGTCCTGGGCAGGAGCACCCATGAACTTCTAGTGTAACAGCCACAGTAACTGAAGTTCCCTTGGCACCACGCATCCCGTGGTCCTGGTGAGGACACGCCTCGGCTGGCCTGGGCAGTTTCCCCTTCGCCGCCTTGAAGCACTGTTGGGACCTGGCAGGAGGGCCGGAGGCGTGCGGGATGCCCAGCCCCTGCCTCCCTGGCAGGCACCGGGCTCCTGCGGGGCTCACTGAGGTCAGGTGCAGCCAGCTCATCTTCCCCTCCAGACCCAGCGAGGGGGCCTCCGATGGACAGACGTGGCCCTTTTGCTAGTGCCAGGTAGACAAAGCGCTGACTGCTCCATGGTCTCCCACTCCCCAGAAGCCTGGGAGCCCCCGCCCCAGCAAGAGGCTGTCGCCATCCAGTTTGTGAGGAGGAGACTTGAGGCCGGCGCCGTGCCGTAGTGGCTCCAGCATCCCATAGCGCCTTTGGGGCCCGGCTGCCACACTGCCAGTCCAGCTAGTGGCCTGGGAAAGCAGCGGAGGATGACCCAAGTGCTCGGGCCCCTGCACCCACGTGGAAGACCCGGATGGAGCTCCTGGCTTTGGATCAGTCCAGCTGCAGCCACGCAGCCCCTGGGGATGGACCAGCAGATGGAGGCCTCTTTCAAACTCTAGACCCAGTAACGACGGTCATGGTGGCTGCGGAGCCTTCAGTCTGCTGCCCGCCTGCTGCCCACCATCGCTCCCCAGCTCCTGGGAACAGAGCAGGCCGCGGGCAGGGCTCTCAGCTCCTGTGAAGTGGAACCAGTGGCACGTATCCAACAGGCCGGGTGCAGGGAGAGCCCGTGACCGCCCAGGGCGTGGGCAGAAAGCAGTTTAACCCTGACGGGCAGCGCGCCTCATGGCCGTGCTCACATTAGCCGACCATGCAGTCTGCGTGCTGCCAAGCCACGGCGCTGCGGTGTGCCCCAGAAACCCCGCTCCGTGGGTCCCACCCCTCAGAACACGCACCGTGGACCTGTCCGCTCCTCCGCAGCCTCCCAGGCCTTCCCCACGTGGAGACAGAGTGGGACAGGTTTGGCTCCGGGGAAGAAGCTAAGGGGACCTTGGGACGAAAGGTGTGGTGGGAGGTCTGGCCACCCCGGGCTTGTCAGTGACAGCAGGCTGCACCCCGCAGGGCACGGGGGCCCCGGCAGCTTCCAGGACTGCC